TGTGAGAGCTTGTGTCCTGTGGGACATAGAACGTGCTCCATGAGCTCTATGAGAGCGGAGAGCTCTGACGCTCTAGTACCAACTCCAGAGCGAGGGGTGCCGGCGACGCTCGTCGCGTTGACGCGTAAGCGGAAATATACGTCGATATCCCTCCTCCATTTCTCCTCGTCGTTCAATCTCCTCCTCTCTCTCTTTCTCTCTCTCGCTCTCTCACCAAACTCTCCATTAGCGGTCACAATAGCGCGTCGCCGAATATTATATGCGCGGAACGCCTCGTCGTTTTCGAGATACACTCAGCTGTCGAGCCAGCGGTGGCCGCGTTTATTTTGCATACCGGACTATTGTTCGTACGTCACGAACGAGCCTCTCTCGTATCGTAACACACGTAATTTTCGCGCGTGCACACGAAATTTAATAGTCGATTACATTCCGCGAACGCCTGATTATAAAATTAAAAGATGATTGGAGCATATCTTCCTGAAGAAATATTCTAATTTCTTTTTTTTATAAAGTTATAATCTCTATATGTACTTTTAACATTTTGAAGCAAATGTCTGATAATAATAAATTAGATTTTTATGTTCGCTACATACGCGCAGTTAGTTAAAAGTCGTAGATGATGCGTCATCATTCACGAAGCGCATGAGGGTTGAGACCAGTTTCCAGTTTGATTAATCGTTGATATGAAATTCGTGATGTATGCGTACATTCCGACTTGTACTTTGCTAGAGAACCGGAGATTCTTGTATCTGCGAGAGATGGACTACTCGGTCCGAGCGAGTCGCGTAAATGATACAAAGTGGATGTTCTTGAATAGATAATGGTGCGAGCCATGCGTGAATGTAAGTGAAGTCGCTAGAAAGCGTGTCGAGCATTGTCCAGCGTATTACATATTCCCTGTGTGTGTCTTCCGTCTTTAGAAAAAAATTCAACGCGTTCCGCAGGTGTGTACACGGTGGAAGACCGTCGCTACGTCGCATATCTCTCTTCCATGATGCGAGTTTTGTGTTTACATCGTAATAATCATGAACAGAGACGAGAGAGAGAGAGAGAGAGAGAGAAGGGGAGGAAGGAGAGAGAGAAAGAGGATGGATGGATGGATGCTGTGACACCGGATGTAAGATGAAAGGACGCATGGATAGAGGGCTCGCGAATTAATTAATTGAAATTGGCAAGTCATTGGCAATAATGCCGTCAGTATAGTTCTGTAGAATATAAAATGTAAAATAGAATATATAAAATCATTTTGAAAACAAAATAATAGATAATAATAGATAACCTTGTTGTAGAATTTTTAGATATACGATACACTATAGGATGCATAGTAGATAGAAAAGACTGTACACATAAAAATGACAAGACTTCTAGATACAAATGGTTTTCAAATTTAATTTTATAAACATTTTATTACTTATTTTTTTACGAGCGCTATTAATCTTCTATGCTTTTGTATTTTCTTCGAATTCTGTACAACACGAAAGATAAACGTGAAAGATTAAGTGTGATTTATGCTAACCAATGTTGGTGCACCTGTCGTTACGCAGAGAATGTATTGCTCGCGTTCACCGTTCTCGACATTCCCGCAGTCGTAATAAACATACTGAAAACAAGGTGTTCAGGACTATAGAAAGTTATTCGAGATTCGTGGCGCTGGTTATTCGGGTCGGCCCCATGGTAATAACGACCATCGCTTGGTATTAGAGTCGCCAACGACATTGGCGTATTATTCTCTGGTCGTGCACGCTCCACGGATTCGCAGGACTTCCGAGACAAAGCCGCACATTGGGGGTGGGTAATGCTCGCGCGCTCGCGGGGGTGGCGGAAAAGCATGTAGTTTGCGAGAAAAGCTTTCTTCGCTAGGGTCAATTTGCACGAAGGCGACGGCGAGGTCGAGGGGCGATTCGCCGTCGCTTTGTTGTCTTTCTTTTACGTTAAAGCTCGGCCACGTCGGTTGCTTACCGCGTTGAACTACATCCCGATACCGACTCCGCCTACGGGAATAAAAGCACCTCGCGAGTGGTTGCGATAATTGAGTGTCTATCCCGCTCCGTTGTAATTAATTGTTTGTACCAGAGTACTCGGTACTTGGTCCTTGATTTACTCGATGTTTCGATTATTAAGATTTCTATTTTTGTCTCGTTTTTAAGATTCTTTGGCGAAGTCACAGTATACTTGGAATTATTTTTATCGCAGCTACACAAACTGTGTTTCACCAATATTACCCTTTCCATTAAGGATATAACAAACTTTCTAATGAATATCTTTTATCTCAATTACTAGTAATTGCTTAACATCGAGAGTTAAAGCTCTTGGTGAATTAAATTTAAGAGTATAATAAGTATGAATTTAGAAGTAAAATAAGTGTATACGCGAAGCTTCTCATTACTCAGTTAATTTCGAGTGGATCTTAGTTTTAGTAAAAGTTTAGTAGAAATTTCAGTATAAAGTTTAATTATTAAAACAGTTATATCGAAAATTAATTAAGTCGCGGTAAATCATCAATTTCCGTTAAATTTCCATTAAATGTTTCCTCGGTTAATATCCCATTGCCAATTATTGATCCGTATAGTTCATATTAATTTTTAAATCGAATACACTTGCTATTGAAATTCCCGCGAGTTCATCATGTGTCATCTATGTCCCCGATAAGCAAAACGAAATTTCGAAGAATGGCTACGCACTATGGTATTTGCATTGGTCGACTGTGAAATTTCAATTACACGTGTACCCGGTCTGATTCGATTATCCAGGCCGGCTTGATTACCGATTCGATTGTTACGTCGAATGCGCCGAGGAATTCGTTTCTATTTGCACTAGCATGCAAGCAGTACGGAATCTATTATGTAAAATAGTTCTCCATGTCTGTTAGATCTCTTTTTTCCCATCATACTGATCCGTTCTGGGAAAATTCTGTACTGTCTCTCTCGTTTTTATCTCTTTTGGCTTGTCTATCTTTGTGTCTCGTGCAATTGCTGAATTACAGTAAGTTATAATCCACTAACTTTGTTAGCGACTAGAAAAACGAATTCACAGATATACGAACAATTGCCATTGACCCTTGCCCCAGGGATTTATTATGGTCTATTTGCAATAATTATATGTGACTCTGTTTTTAGAAAAAAAGACTTGGGCGTTGCCGGCATTGAAGTTCTTATAATTTGACGAGCTTTATTTGTGCAAATTCGTCGATAGTAATCTTTGCAATAATATTTGCATACAAGCATAATAATTAATCTGATTGATCTGAAATTAAGTTAATTATATTTGTAACAAAATTTATCTATTTATTATTTAAAATATTTGAATATTTATTATATTTTTTATTATATTAATTATATTTTTTATTTAGTAATATTATATCATATTAATAAAATTTAAAAAATTCAAGAAAATATATTAATTGAAAAATAACTATTTTTTTCCATTGTTTAGATTACATAGTGATAGTAAAATTAATTATTATTAAAATAATTCATATATCTATTGTACGATTAATTGAACTGTACGATCAATGCTCAATGTTGGACATCTATCTAAGGATCGTGAAAATTTTAAGGCTGTTTTACCATCCACCGATGATTTGTTTTGATCTGACAGACCGGTTCCCCATACCCTCAATCGACTTTGTATATTCGTTGTATTATACCTGACGATATGCCAGTTTCAATATCTGCAGAGTTACAGAAGGAGAAGCGACTTATAAAGAAAAACATGTGAGAAAACCAGGAAAAAAATAAACAACTAGAATATTACAAATTTCATTTTAAAAATCCAATCAGATTTCAAATTCGTTTTCTAGTCAATATAAAAAATCTATTTTATCATATATCACACGCATGAATTCTTTTTATAAAATATAATATTCTGATGCAAATGTATGATGACAAAAAATGATTTTTTATATGTTTAAAATCTATTTCAGATAAATTTAATACAACACAATTCGAGAAAGGAATCTATTTATAATTCTATTTATAATTTTCTATTTATAAAATCTATTTATAATTTTATATATATTGTATTTAATATATTTTGTACATATTTTTTATTTGTTTAAATGTTTTTTATATACAATTACGTAAATAGATAATAGAATTTTATTTCGAATTTTTTCATGAATTGTGTACATTATCTAAAGTAGACCTAAGAATTTATTTTTGGTAATTATTTTAAACATTTTTTTCACTTTTATAAAATAATAATGTTTTTTTAAATGTCAACTATTTATCTTAAATAATTAATACAAAAACATTTCAGTTATATCATTGATTGACTAAGAATACTAAAAGCATAATTATAATGTGCATGACAGCATTCGTTTCCGTGGTTTCTAACAATTAGATTCAAATCGGAAGAAAGTTTAACGCGGTGGTAAAAGTGAACAGAGTTTTCCTGATTTGAGAAATAAATGGAACCGCAATGTATAGATCGCTTTAACCGCAAAGTATACAGTCATTTTTGAAATGGCATTAGCTTTAAATGTAACTATATACTTTCTGTCACATAATGTCAAGTTCGAAGGAATGCGAAATTTCTGTCAGGAAGAAATATAAAAAGCAGTTACAAGTAGACTGTTTGACTAAAATTTATGATAATTAAATTTCTTACATTATTAAGCATATATATATATATATATATATATATATATATACACATATATATGAAAATTTAATTTAATTAACATTAAGAAATTGAATTTTAACTAATTTCTCAAATAGATTAATTTCAAAGATATTGGAACTGCTAAATTTGTACATATACATGATGATTTATAAAGGCATAATGAAATTGGAAGAGGTGAAAGAGCGAGAGAATGTAGAACCGTGGACGCTTTTCGACCGTGTGATTCACGGACGATCTGGCAACAACGGGGCCCCAAGAAGCAGTGATCTCGCGGGAGTACAGGTCTCGTGAGAAAGAGACACGATGAACACGAGCGAGAAGAGGAACCGTATAAGTCCCAGCCATAGTGCGACTGAGCTGAGAAGAAGGTAGGAGGCGGAAAGTGAGAGAGAAAGAGTAACGGATTGCTGGAAGTATACCTGAGAAGCAGCATAGTTGAGCGTGAGGGTCTGGTCCAGCGCTCGTGAAACGAGTGAGAGACGCTAAAGTTTTCCCGTATATCTTTTTTCTCACGGTTTTTCTTCTTATTGACGGGATCCCGAACAAGCCAGAGACGATCGAAAGTCGAGAACGCTGCAGCAGTCATACGGAAGAAGAGATAGGGAGTGCAAGACTCGCGTACGACTATCATCTCCATGTGATCTACTACATGGTTCTGTTGCTCTCGACTTGCGTCTAGTTGATCTGCGGTCGTGCGTAAAGGTAAGCACCGCCCAATCGATCCCACGCTTGGATTTTCCGAAAATTTTAACAAAGAAACAATATTTCTACCGATAGTATTATCGTCGTTGTATTCTAAAATATAATATTCGTATTAATTTGTAATTAGAATCCAATTATATATTGCATTTATTTGTGCATTATTGAAGAGTTTTTAGTAAGCCGATAGTGTGATATTTTGAATTTGCGGATTTAAAATAGAAAATATACTCAAATATTTTTGATACAAGTGTAAAGTTACAATTGAGAATGACCGTCAAAGCGGTCGTGAGGGTTGTTAGAGGATTAATTAAAAATAATTATGCGTGATTTTAATTTTGCGTAAAATTTTTATGAAATATTAATTTCATTAGAAACTGAAATTATTTCGTTGACGCCAATATGATGATATACATTCAGTGTGATAATGTGCAGATAATTTTGAAAAATTTTATTCATGTCTGTTATTATCTGTTGCAATTTTTAAGTATGAATAGATTAATTATTTTACAACAGATAAAATTTTTGTTTTGCTTTCTTTCTTCCTGAAGGAATTGAGGATGATATAAAAATAGATTTTCTTGAAGAAGTAAGTAAATTGTGTGTCATTATTATTGTAAGCTATTTTAATTAAATAAAATAAATACAGGTATTTTAAAAATCTATCTAAAAATTTGCATGATTATTGTATAAGTATATATATAGGAATGTAAAACTCCGGAGTAAGTCATAATGTCTGACATATTATTACGAAATTTATCAGCTTGAAGTCGAAACTTATCAACTTGGAAAAACATCAACGAGAAATATAGTATACTAAACTTTTAAGCGCCCATAGCGAAAAGCAGTAGCGATCAATTTTACGCATATGTTGTCCCATAAACTTCCGTTCGCGTGTGCAGAAGTGATCTAAACGCTAATTAGTTCTTTATGGAATCATCAGAAACGGACGTTAGAGCATCCCTGGCAATGACATTTTAATCAAATCACATTGTCCGGAACGCAATACGAGGATGTGAACGGTGGTGATACGCCGGAAGGATAAATGACTGCCGCTGATTGCGAGCTCTCGTGTGGCAGTACAATCGACGTCCAATGCGTTCGAAAACTACAAAACCCGAACTAATTAAAAGAGAATTAGGAGACCCGATCGTTGGCGCCATCGCAGTAATACAGAATTCTCTCTCGGCCGCATGTCGCGATCGACCGAACGTATCAACGAACGCGCGCGCAAATCAAATATTAATAGCGCAATTAGCGGCAATTGTACCTTAATCGGTTTTGTCTCTTTTTCCCAACACCCACAAATTTCCACGTCCGCGACGCGTCGCAAACCATTCGCAAAAAATTCAGCCGGACGCGCCGCAATCCGCGCGCGCGCAACTGTCATCTTCTTGCCGCTTTTACGTGCAGTCCTATTAATTTCAGATTATCGCAAATTGCTGGCGTTGTTCTCCGTTATGAGATTTTCCCGGCAATGTGGATGGATAAGAAATAAATGATAAATTAATGCTTCTTTTAGAGCAAATACGTTCTTTCGGTTATTTCTTTGAGGATAGGACCGATTCAAAATATGGATTTTAATTCTGGATATAGTTATTTTCCCATCATGCATATTGTTTTAATTAATAATATTTTTTAGACAAAAAAGCCGCAATACATTTGCATCGTTTTTCTAAAAGGGCATAAATATAAATTATAATTATTCACGTTTATGCTTTTGATGTGGGAATTAAGTGGAATCTACGAACATAATGCGAATATTTATAGGGCGACCGACAAGTTTGTGCTCCGAAGGATTTGTTTTGTTAATTACTCAAGCCGATATTACTTAATTCACTTTTGATTAACGATCGTCTGTATACAGGGACAAGTGCGAGAACAATGGGTACTAGGGCCGTTGCCGTTGCGGCGGCGGCAGGTGCTGCCGGGATGTCTGGCGAGGCAGGATTGGCTGGTGTACCGAGACTGTTGGAAGATCTAGCGCGACTCTCCGAGGATAAGGACTCAGCTGATATCGTGTTTCTGCTAGGGAGGGACGAGACCCCAGTTTATGCCCACAGAATAATACTTCAAGCCAGGTCGGTCTTAACGAGCCATTATTTATGAAAACACATTAATTCTGTTCTTAATTTAAAAAGAAGCAGGAGAACAGGATCTTTCTGAGATATATTTCTAGAAAATTATGTAAGTAGCGAATGAAATTCTTAAAATATCGCAAGAAAAGTTTCAATAATATTTAAATAAAAATATTTAAGAGATATTCTTAAATATAATTTATATATATATATATATATATATATATATATATATATATATAATTAAGTAAATATTTACAAATAAAAATATTGAAAACCGCATATTATTTTTGAAAATATTAGGCATTACATTATTACGGCAATTACAAGTTTTATACTCTAGAGATTTATTGGATATAATAATTCCGACGAATTACTCATGAAAATTTCTCGAGGAAGAAAATGATATCATTTCTATTAAGCAGTTATTTCCGATATTTTCCGATACTACGAGCAATTCGAATTATGAGGCAGCGTGCAAATCACTTCGATAAATGGTGAAGTGCGATGCACTCTGGGAATATTACATTAATTGTCAGTAGTAATTATTATAATCCCGCCGCGCTATTTTGTCGATCGAACTACGTGTAAGATTTCCTCGGAGAATTTAAATACTGTACAACGTGCGATGAATCGTCACACACACACACACATACACGAGAAAGTCAATATTGCGATTTTAACTCATATGCTTCTCTGATATGTAAAGATATTTCCACTGCAAATATTAATACAACATTTGCAACGCGAATATATGTATTACGCGGAGTTTAAAGTAAAAAAGATGTAATAATTGGAAAAAAGGAATATTTTTGCAAATTTTTAACTGTTATAAAAAAAATTATTAGTTCAGCAGTCACTAATTAGGAATATTAATGTAAGAATTAAAGATAATTTCGTTGAAAAACAACTGATTTCCTTTCACATGAACTGAAAATGAAACGAAGAATAAAGTCAATCGTTCTTAACGCACTGAAAATATTATTAGAAAAAATAATAAAGCACGAAAGAGGCAAAGATTTATTGAAATTTTCCGCGCCAAAGTTCGTGCGACTAATGAATTTTAATTAAGGGTATGTTACGGCTTATGAAGATAGTTACGGCGAAACGAATCGATCGGCTGTTCTAATTAGGTAGATTGAAAGAAGCACTCTTTTTTCCCGGAATTCTGCATCTCTTCCATCTTTCGACGCATTTTCTCTCCTTTACCCGAATCCATAAGGAGAGGACTCCGATATTTAGGGGAAAGGCGAACTTGTCCGAAGGGTTGGCGCATCGTGAGACAAGGCGGCGCTAATTGTAAAGTCAATTATGACATTTCCGTGAATCCCTTTAATATCGGGCGCGGAAAGTAACGGCGGGGCCTTTGTCATCGCGCCGTCATTTCCACCCTCTGATATTATTCTCTTTCTCTCTCTTTTTCTATCTCTATCTCTGTTTTATTTCTCTGTCTCTTTCTCTCCATTCGGCCGTCCGCCAATGCGAACCTGGGAAAATTAAGTTACGCGTGCTCGTGACAGATGTCCGCAGTCGAAACGAATGGACAATGCATGCTACCGCACGCTCAAACTCTTTACGACGCTCTTCCGCATTGAAAATCGTGATAAAGAGTCGCGTACTCGAGAATTCGCCCATCCGCGATGAGGAATACTGGCTAAAAAGGTGGAAATAAAATTTTCTAAGAGCATATTACTGTTCTCTCCCAGTAGACCTCGGATTACCTTTAATTCGACGGAGTTCCGGAGGATATTAGAATACAAATGTAAGTGACAGAAAAGTTGGAGTCGATACAGCCAAAAATATATATATTTATAAATGTATACATATATAATTTTTTCGATCTTGTTGAGTTTCTACAAACATTCCAACAATTAAAAAAAATCATGCTAATTCCTTTATTACAATTATACAATTTGATAATTGACTAAATGGAATAAACACTTTCTATTAAATTCCTATTACAATTATACAATTTGATAATTGACTAAATGGAATAAACGCTCTTTTTACACCGTATATAAAAATATTATATAAATTATAGAAACTCAATCTATCTATATATGAATCAATCATGGAGATGAATTATTGATAATTTGGATTATCGGATGGCAAAACAAATTTTTCGCGAAATCTCGGCGCAGAGGTAGTCTGCTATATAATATTTTCGGGTAAAACCGCGGTTTACAAAATACCAGTTTATTCGGATAAACATCATTTCACCCTTCCCTGATTTCATACGCACCGTCAACACTCTCGAGTTTCGCGTCGAGAGCTCGAAACTTTGCCACGTTTCGTTCGTCGAAAACGTTCAGCTTAACCGAGACCGGAGCGCTCAGCTGTATTTTCGCGCTTTTCATCCACTTTATCTCTGGTTTTCTCGCACGATCTAGGCGTTTCATATATTTTGCAGCGTTTCATATATTTTCTTCCTAACGCCCGCTTGCAATTATGTTCTCTTAAATTGGATTAATAAAAATATTATTGATTAAAGCAGTGACAAGATTTTAACGAAGATCTGTACAATATTTTATTGATCTTCAATAAAACATTCATGCTTTACTCTTCCATTTTATGTTTCGCTGTGATTATGGCAATAAGATATATCACATTTTTTAAGATGTAATAAATCCACAAAAATAAATTCATAACATTCTTATTCAGACAAAAAACTCAGATAATTTTATAATAAAATATATTGCTATTTATAGTATATATTATATTATAATATAAGATGTATTTTAAGATATTATTGATTTGAAAAGCTGCCATCACTGATTCTTTTAACAAAATTTCATTGTGTTTGCAATGCTATATTTATAATTTAAATCATGCTTAATCATGCTTAATGATAACATGATTAATGATAATCATGATAATGATAACATATTGATTTTATTTAAAGCACTTTCGTGTAATTTCAAGGCTGCATGCTCTTTGAAAAATACTTTACGTAATCTTTATGCATAATTCGGATGTTTTGGAGGAGGAGGAGGAGCAGGAGGAGGAGGAGGAGGAGGAGGAGGAGGAGGAGGTGTATATAAATATTATACTTAAGTGTGAGTCCAAGAAGCAGATTTCGGATATTCACTGTAAGTCATCCGCTCCTCGGGCGATCGGGACGAGATTTAAACGGTATTACCGCGAAATGGTGTAGAATTTTATGCAAAAAGAACGAAATCGCTATCGCGTCCGGAAGTCGAGATATAAATTGGCCGTTTTTTGTCAGCGCGCGGACGGTCGAAATCGTGCACGACGCCGCGCATGTTGCTTGCCTCTCTCGCGCGATACTCACTGTAACGTGGCGAGTAAAATGGCAAGCCGAATGCAATCGTTCGATTAATTCGTTAAATATTTATATATATCGAATGAAAAAGCGAACTAGAATGTAATCGTTCGATTAATTGATTCAATACTTATATATATCGAATATATCGACTTATATATATACGAATTAATCGAACGAATGCATTCCGATTCATCTTTTCGTTTGGTATATATAAATATTTAATTTACTATTCGACTGATTACGTTCCGACTCGCTTTTTTATTCGATATACATATAATTACTTATACGTGATTTAAAAAAAAGGATTTATTGTATCATAAGTTTCTATAGCAATAAGATATTATAGATAGTAATAGGTATTATTATATAATATTTTTTGCATTATAAATTGATATATAATGGTATTTAAATAAGAATACATATATATTTTTCCCCCTGCTTGTCGAAATGAAATTAAAATAATACCAATGCATTGTAGTGGGAAAATACGACATCCTATATTATATTGAATCGTGTACTAAAATCAATATTAGAGTCATATAATCTTACAGAGCTTCGTGAAAAGAAAAATTATTACACAGCGAGCTATCTTTAATAAAGAAAATGCTTGCGACGAGTGCTCGCAGAATAGCGAATAAGCAGAATAATACAAGAGCTATTAACGGATTTAACTTCTGAGCGTCGTTATTGAAAGTATGAATTATCATGGCTTTCTTTTTCTTTCTGTAAAACTGTCTGGCAAAACTAATTAATGTTGCTAAGACTAGGCGGAATAAAAACAAAGTCTGTCTGAGTCGATTAAAAAAACGAATCAATTTACGCTCTTCTACTCTACGTAACCTCGCTTCTTTCTGTTTTTCTCCTTGTTGGAAAACACTCCAGTTCGTAAATTCAATTTTGTTTCGATATATCGAGGAGGTCACAATAGCATACCACTAGAATGTTGAATTGTATTTTTCTGGACACGACGTTTATTCGATTTCTCATTTAATTATATATCAGTTTTCGTTCCAATCTATTCTATGGGATATTATGAAACTTGCCAAATAGAATAACGATATATGAAACGTTTGGCTTTACACATTGTATGTCAGGATTTTATATTATACAAACTCAATATCAATATTTGATAAATTGCTATGCGCGTTTATTCAGAGGTGATAATAAAATAAAAACTCGATACCCAGACAGCACAAAAAGGCCAAAAGATGTCTTAAAGATGCCTTTAAGTCGTCTTTTAGATGTCTTTTGGACGTGTGTGCTGCCTAGGTATTTGCTATTATCAAATATAACTTATTCACATATTTAGGGAGAAACTATTCTATGTTTTTAAATAGAAATAAAAAATATCGACAAAGCAACAATTTTTATTACGCTTTTAAGGTTTATCGATCTAATCACATTCTTTACACGCATATTTTCGCGTTCATTACATTAATGATATGATTTATAGTGTGACTCGATCTAGATCAAACAATTAATGGAATATCTGAAAAGAAAGGATATTCTGTTATTCTGTCGATTATATTTTCATTCTATTTTCACTACCTTGTTTCCAACAGTGCAAAGATACATGGCGTGAGGGTGCTTCTGAAAGTTACCATTAATTTTTAACGTAGGAAGAATACGCCTCTGCCGCTGTACCTTGGTTTCGTGTGTCTCTACAGCTTCGTGACGAAGTCAATTAAGCTCTTTCGTTACGAAAGTGTGCGAGAAGTAGCGTACAAGGAATGGCGAAAAAGGCGCTTGTTTATTCTGAGAAAAGGATTCGCGTTAAGATAACAAACTGCGCAAAGCGCAATGCGATGCCGTGCGATAGAGACAGGTTTGTTTTCAAAAATTATTTCACAGGTGCAAGAATTTCACGGCCGCCAAGAGAATCGGCACAGCCAGTAATCCGACACCGGTGCGAATGCCGCACGCGCATCCGGAAACATTCCGTCAGTTTATTCGTTACATCTACACCGGCATGGTAGGTATCATGTATAAAATTTGATAGCTTTCTATATACAATCAAATAAAATTAAATCTGTGATTTTGCAATTTACCATTTTGTTATTCGGCACTCTTTAAGTACAGTACTTTGCTCGCATCTCGCTTTTTTGAACAAGGGATCATTTTTGAATTGTAAATGATCGAAAATTTTATAAATAAATATAACATATCTTTTCATTGATATCCTCACGATTAATTTAACAGTATATATTTAAGATTTTCCTTTTTATTGAAAAAAATTTTATTAAAAAATTAAAATTATAAAAAAATATTTCTTATGAGAATAATTTCGCGAAGAAAATTTGAATAAATATTATACTATATCTGCAAAATATTATTTGTATTAATTTTATAAAATACTTAAATTATTATTTATTACATAATGTTTAGTAAGACTTCTATGCTCTGTTCCATATATTTATAGAAAAATTAATATGATTTTTAAAGTACTTTTTACCTATTTCAAGTGATGATTATAGAGAGAGATTAATCATGTGAGAGAAATAAAACTTTATCTCTTAAAATTCAATATTAGATTTTAATTACTGCATATGTCGGATAAATAAATTCCTAAATCTGTGTATATATTTTAAACGATAAGATATTGCAAAATCTTATAAGCCTATTATATTGCACAAGATTACGACAAATAGTCATAAATTCTGTCTTAACTGATTGCAGATAATACTACAAGACAGTGGGATTTTCGAAATGCTAGGATTGGCACAAGAACTCGATATCGAGGAACTTTGGAGAAGTTGCGAGGAACATGTATCTGCCACTTTAAGCCCCGGAAACGCGTGTGCACTTTTAACCGCCGCTTTGGAAGCTCAGGAACGAGTTCCAGGTACTTATTTAAATATATATATATTAATAGTTTCTCGTAGTTTGCGTATTGCATGCGGCAAATTAGATACTTGAAAACTTTCGATTCTCCCATTGCGTTGTAATATCATATGGAAAAGATATAAAAAGATAAAAATTTTTTACTCACGATACCAAACGAAGACTTCTCTTTTATCGATACTATGTTGCACCGCATATATGTCCTCGGCAGCACGTTACAGGCATCTCTTCGATCCATCTTTCCTATAATAAAATATAAAATATGAAATATATGTATACACAAATTTACTGCATAAATATTTAACTAAATAGAATTATATATATAATAATATTTCAAACATTATTTTAAATATATATTTTATAATAATGTACGTATTATCTTCTATAAAAAAAAACATTACATTAAAATAAAAGAATATAAAAGTATATAAAAGAATATAAAAGTATATAAAATAAATAATAAAAAATTATATTATTTAAATCTTTAATAAAATCATCATCTTATTTTAATACACTTTAATTCATAAATAAAACGACTCGAACAATATTCTATTTATATTTAATCCAATATCATTTAAAATAATTATTTATAAATATTTTATTAAATATAAATATTTTTAGTAATAAAATTATTTACTAAAAAACATTTGTAAAATGATAAAATACAATGCATTTGTTTACGACTAAAAACTATATAATTTTAATGCTTCTAATATCGCAAGTTTTAGAAAATCAATTCTGATTGAATTAGACACTTTGTGTGTTACAATTATGATTATTAATATAGCTTTATCGACCTGCAATAAAATCAAAAGACATTTACTCTTTTATTTATTGCTATTTAAATATTAGAAACAGGAATGTGATTAATATTTAATATATTATCAAAATTAAAACTGATTTCGGTTTAATTTTCGATACTATATATATGCGAAAAAGAACCTTATGTCGTATCTTTATTTAGTCATAAATAAGCAGTATATTGTATGCAATATCCATATATAAACCTAGCAAAATTATATCAGCATTAACTTATTATTGTTAACAATATTAATTAGAACAATATTTTAAACAAAAATATGCGCATACTTGGCAATTATTGTGCATCTCGTTGCATTTACGACGTATTTACTGCACTTGTGAGAAAATTTGAAACGTACGAAAACGTTGAAAAATGGCGATTGTCCGAGTGTAAAGAAACGATTATCGAAGTCGCAATACGGACTGCACGCGATACTTCATCCGTTACGTACGACACCATGAACATCCGACACTTCGCGAGAAACACTCGTAATAATTTCTCACGCGGCAGATTGTTTTGAGACAATAACACTCGCGAAAAAAACACAAACACGATTCTGCAGCCGCCGCGACGCGTCTCGACACGTTCACTGCGATTTGAAATCTATCGAAGGGTGCGAAACATTGCACTTTACGATTCTCGAAATGTCGAAACGTTCAAAAGAATGATTTAATATTGCAATACACGCGCATGTAATAGAAATAAAATTTCAAATATTTGGTAAATACTTAGAAATCTCTCGAAATACATATAAATTTAATTGCAACAATTTATTTATAATACTTTACGCGTCCTGCGTCGATTGACTACGAGACACGAAGTGCACTTCGAGTTGTTCGATTGACCAATCAGAACAAGACAACCATGAAAGCGACTAGTCTCGGTTAATATTGTCAGGTTGGCATCACTGCTACGAGATCGCCATATTTGTCGGCGTTCCGCGTTACAGAGCACGCTCTTTTTTCGCCCTTATCCAGTTTTTAAACATTTTTTAAACAAACACGAAAAATGTCGTACAAAGGACCGCAGAAAGTCCAGAAGGTAATGGTACAACCTATTAATTTGATTTTTCGTTATCTGCAAAACCGTTCACGCGTGCAAGTCTGGTTATTCGAGAACATCAACTTGCGAATCGAGGGACACATCGTCGGCTTCGATGAATACATGAATTTGGTGCTGGATGATGCCGAGGAGTATCACCAAAAGACGAAAAATAGGAAGCAACTTGGACGAATCATGCTGAAAGGCGACAATATTACGTTAATACAAAATACTAATCCCAGCACAAATTAATGGCGATGAAGAGTAACCTAACCTCAACTCGGCAATAAATTGGCGCCAAGGAGTTTATCATATTCTCAATTCTTCAGAATTTCTTGGACTGTGAGCAAAGCGTTCAGGGAGATTGTTTAGCTGCAAAAGTTGACGATCATTTAAGAAAAATGTATTTGCGTGACGAATGTATGGATGCGTTAAATTTATATCTTGTAACACTTTTAGTTATCTCAGTACAAATTTCTATATAAATGTTGACAAATAAGAAATCAAATTTTGTCATGAGAGAGAAACATTCAATATTTTACATTAATGAATTAGTCTCATTTAAACTTATGTGAGCAAATATTCCTTGCAATATATTATCATATATTGCCCGTCTTTATTAGCGATACAAACAATGTAGGATTCTATTTTGAATGACAACTTTTGTAAAAATCTATGTTGAATGTGTACTTTATAAAAGATAATGTGTGGCTTTATAAAAGATAAATAACATATAACAATATTATTAAATAGTTCCATATTCTCTAAAAAGTGTTTTTCTATTTATTTTCACCTATATTGTAACGTCCATGTATCTATTACAGTTATATACATTATAAATATATATAATCTATATATAGCGAGAAATAAGAATAAAAAATCTTAATTAATGTAGAGAGAGATATTTAAGTTGTACAATTTTGAATAATGATTATCAAAGAAACTGATGTAAGAGCAATTTAAAAAAATTCTAAGAAACAAATATTTACATATATTTCACAAAAAATAGGTATAAAAGGTGAGATTGTGTTTGTGGTTTTCATTTATTTACAAAAAAGACTTAATTATTTATTATATTTTATAGAAATTTTATCACTTATGGTTTTTAAATAAACTTCTATTTCTTTTTGTAATTATTTGTAAAAAGAACGTATAATCATTTTTAAACATTATTTAATTTTAAGTAATATTTACAAAAAAATTTGTATTATATGTAAAAACTATTTGTTTCAGGTGGGAAAGCTGCATGTTCATCTTTTATTGAAAAATGCTTTGCTTTTATTGGAGAAAATGCTGTAGATACTGTAAAAACAACAGCATTTTGTAATCTTCCAAAGGATGCTTTGGTAAAATTGATATCGTCAGACTACCTCGGTTTGGAAGAAGAGGATGTATGGCGGGCTGTTCTCAATTGGGCAAAATATCAGGTCTGCTTATTTTGCTCTATTTAATTTCTTAATATGCTTCAAATTTATCATAATTTAAGGACATGCTTTTTAATTGTTTAACCATTTTAGGCTGGAGTGACACAACCCACGCAACACTGGACTGAAGAGGAACGTTTAAGAGTGTGTCAACATTTGTCTGGTGTGATAAATCATGTAAGATTATTGCTGATAGATAGCCAAGTGTTTGCGGAAGAAGTAGAGCCGACTGGAGCAGTGCCGATAGAAATGTCGTTGGAGAGGTACGAATTTTTCAGTCCCGATCGATCGAGCGGCTCGAAATTTCTAAGGTATGATCTAACGGGGCGGCACTCACCGTTTGGTGGTATCGCCTTCGATCTCGACGTTTCGCTTTAGGTATAGGTATGCAGCTCTGCCAAATAAGTATTCGGAGATTTGCTCTGATAAACGGCTGCATCCGCGAGTGAGTCCATTCCTTTTTCCGAGCTCGCAGATCCTTTCCAGAGACAAAGTGGGTTTTCAACGACTTTTGAATCAATGGTATGGAGTGCCTAAACAGAGTTGGCGATTAGTCTATCGGTAAGTTTCAAGAGTCATAGAGATATCATATAAGAAATAATTCATTTAAAACGGTGAATTAAATAGTTTAATCAAATCAGTCTTTGCGTAAAAATTTTACTTTTATTTCTCAAATTGTTTCAGTCTGTGATTCAATGATCTTCTTGACAATTTATTCATATATATTTATATATGATTCATATTCTATTACTTTCAGAGCATCCACTCATGGCTATTCTGCTGCGTCTTTTCATCGACACTGTGATAACGTTTGCCCAACATATGTGATAGTGCTGGTAAGTATGGGTGCTTTCCATTTAGCGACACAAGTCGACACAAACATCATTCTATCTTTTTTCAGTGAATAACAACAAACAAAGATTGAATGACACTTGTGTTGATTTATGTTCCTAAATGGAAAGCAACCTGTAATATTTTTATTTTAATTTTTTGTGTATCTACTACAAAAAGTATCATCCGTTATATTTCAGGGTGTGCGCGGCGAAATATGCGGAGGATTTAGCGATGTTCCATGGGGTAAAACTAACTCGAAAGCACAATATATTGCTTCAGAAAAGAGTTTTTTGTTCTCATTGACGAATAATCAAGATGTACCACCAACAAAATTCGATATTGTGAAGAAATCGTTCGCAATCTGCTATCATCCCGAGTAAAAATCGACTTTCATAAAAAATTTTTATTAAATTCTCAAAAAAAATTAAATTAAATTAATTTTATTTAATCTATATATTATATATTACAGTATAGGACCAATCTTTGGTGCCGGAGCTGATTTGCTCATATCGAGCAACTGTAATGTCAACAAAGAAAGTTACAGCAATCTTCCGCATAGTTACGAGGGAGATCACGCATCTAATCAGCTACTCATGGGAGACTATCACTTTTCAGTAGTTGACTATGAAATTTTCACTCCGAGTCATCCTGTTCCGAAGTCTAATCATTGACTTGATTATCGTAAAATCAGCATTTGACGAATATATTGCTTGTAAGAAACTTACTACTTATTTTATTCATTACATTTTGTTCGTGGTTTTTTAAGAAATTTTAAAAAATTTTACATATTAAAAAATAGCGATAATTTATCCGTCTTATTAAAATTGTATTTCTATATATTCATATATCTATTCTTAAAAAAAATAGCATAATTAAAAGACTGATTTTGTTATTTTATATTTTTATATAATAATATTTTATACTTATATGTATTTTTTGTAATGTCAAATAAATATCAAATTTACCTATTCAATATATATTCACGTAATATTCACTTGGCTTCGACACTCCATAGTCTAAAAAAATAAGTATATAAATGTTCTGTGCTCTCGCGGAACTATACGTAATACATGACTTATGTGCTCGCCAAACAGAACATTGCGAAAAAGACACACGTTAGTGTAGGCAATGTGAATGTGTGTATTTATGAAACCGTCCTATAGAGTATTCTTGACATACGTACATTGAATATTCATATCAAAGTATTACGACTAAATGCGGCCGTCTGTCACCTAACATTACAACGTTAAACAGTTACATTCGTAAAATTAGTCTAGCCGACCTCGTATTCTCGTGTTTTTCGCAGTGCATTTATGTATACATGCATTAACGTCAAGATATAAAATTCAATTTCTCATATTTGCTTTATAGAACACGACTCATTATTAATAATAACCTTAATAATATAATATTGCATTCTTTTCGTAGATTATTAAAAATGTTTTTCTTATTTTTTGTTTTAATGTTATTACAAAATTTCTTTTAAAAACATATTTTCCTTTCGATATCACAATTATATTAAAATGTTATTTCACATACATTTTTGCTATTTTTTTTTTAATTTGAGCTCAAGAACCATTTTTTAGTAAAAATATGATAAAACATAATAAAAATATTCTTTTTGTCATAACATGTAACAATTGAAAATATATATTATAACGAAGTATAATTTATCTGGCATGTTTTATACAACTTAATCTATTTAGCGAAAGTATACCTATTCCTCTATTTTTTTCTCACGATCCCGATTTTGCAAATTTATACACATTTTATACAGAATATTTATAATAAATTTTGTAACAATCTTTTAACCAAATTAGAAACAATCCAGAAGACAAATTATTACTCCATATAATATTATAACGAAGTATAATTATCGCAGGAAAAAAAGATAATGTAATAAGATAAATTAAAGGAATAGGTATATATCATTTAAACAGGTTACATTACTTAATGCTTTACAAAAAGATGGTAAAATAATGAACTTTTATTATCATCTAATATCAATGTACAAGTACTTACTGGCCCGGTCCCGTTCCCATGCCAATCATTTATTTACAAATTGCATTCATCTTATTACTATTAAACGTATACGAAATATTTTGTATGTTTCACATACGTTTCATCAAAATGATCAATTAAATACAATAAACTTAGAATATATGTATTTGTGTATATATATATATATATATATATATATTTATATTTATATCATACATGTGTCCGGGATAAAACGATTTTTTTAAATTGCAGATATTATACTGGCCTTTATTGACTACATTCATCTACAAAAAGTGCTAACGAGACGTAGTGTCAACAGTGATCAACAATAATAAGTAATTCGTTGAAATTTTATCTAACAAATATACATCAAATACGAGAGGAATCTTGGATTGCGCTACGAACAAATGTATGTAAGAATAAATGTTAATATACTTCTGCCTTATGTACAAATTTTATATGCATATGTACACGATTTTTCATAAATATTCATAATTGTATTTGCAATACAATATTCTAGAGTATTTATCCAGAAGCGTCATGTAAAACTTGGGATCAATTGTAGTACGGCACAATTCAATTTTTGTCATCCGCGAGATAATTCGAGCTTTTATTACTACGGTTGCCACACCTCAATATCAATCTTTGCATGATAATTAGGAAAATTATTACAGTCTCATCACAACGAGAAAAAGAGACATCATGTTCCAAATGTTTTAAATCATATAACTATTTTATTTCTTCAAAGTAATTATTATATATACATACAGTATTAAGACAGGATCACATTATTTACAAGATAAAATATATGGACGCAACAACAATAATTACAACATAAAATTCTTTAAATGTTCTTATCACACTTAATAATATTTCTAAATTATTTTTTCTAAAAGAAATATTGATTCGTTCCATATAGCCCGGAGATTTTCTATTCACGTGAGAGATTTTATTAGCTGGAGATTTTAAGCAAATTCAGGAGGGTGGCAACCACAGGATTATCATATAATATCATATATTAATATCAGATGTTTTTATTAAGCTAACGACTAGCTAGAAACAATTGAAGGACGAGAACTTTCATATATTTACATTTACATCCTCAATGTCTAGTTTATGATAAAACTTTGATTTTTAATATTAAATCACTACCGAATCATCATACAATCGTCAGTAAGTTCTCTTATCTATTTCCCCGATGAAAAGCATCAATTACCGGACATGTAACTGAGGTACACGACTCGGTAGACGATTTCTTCGTCTACCGGATCGCGGAACTATTTATGTCTGCCACGTAGCTTGTCTTAAATTCCAGAAAGGCACTACCGGTCTACAAATCGCGCCGTTATTCCGTCTTAAAAGCGAAGTTGTGTTCGACAATTACGCTGTCGGAAAAGAAACGGCAAAAGTATCGTCCGTGATACCTGTGTGAGAATTTGGATACGCAGGGGAGGAGAATATCATCGAAATTCTTAACGATGAATTCTTCCTTTTGAATTTACTCAAAGAAATAAAATTCTCGAGTACGAACGTTGATAATAATAACAAAATAATTAATATATACTGTGCATATTTAAAGTTTAAATTCAAAGTTAAAAAATAAAGTTTAATAAACTAAGATAGTTACACAAATTTTTATACAGGTTTTATATGCTTACATTAAAATATTTTAATACGGATTAAAATATTTTAATTAGGAATTACAAGCAAAAATTTAATGTTTTAAAGAAAAATCTGTCATATAGCGTGACAGTATTGCGTATTATCATATTAATAAAAAAAATGAAAATGCCGATATCTCCGAGGTTTTCTTCTCGCGAACGTTTCCTCCCGGATACATCACGAGGAGGTAAGAAGGTCACGACGGCGGAAACGACATCGGTAATACATTTGTAAAATAAAACGGTGTACATACCACTGATGTACATATGTGAACGTACACGAGACATGCATGCACCAATGTATGTGCTGCAACGACGTATTTATCGGACGACGTTCCTATTCTCCATCGTTCGTCTTCGTCTCGCATGATTACCGCGAATGAAGGAGCGAGTAAAACGCGTGCGCTCGTTAATTAAAACGGTGGAATCTCGTTAAAGTCGATTGGCTGTTGCGTAAGCGACCATCGATCGACGGCTTGCTCGTGTCGGAATTGAGATGTCGACCGTCGTAATTTTTTCTTCACAAGGCTTGTTTGTGCGAATAGAGCGCGCGTGTCTTGCATTTACTTAAGCTTATTCACGAGTAAGGGTGCAAGAAGGAAGGGGGCTATGGGAGTTTGGTAAGTTCGCGCGCAAGAAAGTAATTAAAGGATGCGAAACGAAACTTGCCATTCATGCGGTATATGCATATCTCATATGTGCGCTGCTTTTTTATGCCAGTTATCTCGTAAATATTTGCATTATGAGCAGTTTTTCAATCTTAAGATGAAAAATTAAAAAGTTGTTGTCTTGTTAGTCAAATTCTACGTACTAAAAATCTTTTAAGATTTTGCGCGAACTTCTTTAATTTTATATCTCGATTTCATTTTTATATAAAGAGTGTGAAAAGAGATCTATTCTATATCAAATTATCTTTTCTTGTAGTTGAAAATTAAAGAATTTTTATCCCGAAAATAATAAAATATATAATGAAAAATATAAAAGATAAAGAATAAAAATATATTCTAGAAGAAATATATTCTAGAAAAAAAGAGATATTATATTCGACACATAACATCTATACATTTTTATAAAATGTATATACATGTACATGTATGTATATGTGTGTATATATATATATGTAATATATGATACATTTATTTTATGATTTTTTGCAGCATTTCAAATTTTTTTATTATATTTGTCGTTTATATTTTGTCGTTTTATTTCGAAAATATTGCATACATGTATTTGAAAATTTGCTGCTCATTGTATAATTTCCTTATGTAACTTCTCATAATGCAAACATTCTAATTAAATCTTACTAAATGTCAGCTTGTCAAATTGAAAATCCTATTTTTTTAACTGTATCGCAAATAACCATGACAATACTATGGCCATTATGTCTAACATTAATTATTGACGCCACTATTAATACTTATTGTTAGAACATACTTTACATTTGTACCTGTAAGAGAAATATAACATATATATATATATCTATTTATAATATATATAATAATATCTATGTATATAAATGTAACAAGACTTCATATTTAGTTTATGCACATATACACATAATACAATCTTAAACAGAAAAAAATATGCATATATGACATATACACACATATATTAATATATATTCATATATATATATATATATATATATATATATATATATATATACATACACCTATTATTACTAATATTATATGTGCTACATTAAAAGCGTGTAAAATATATATATATATATATATATATATATATATATATATATATTACACACTTTTAATGTAGCACATATAATATTAGTAATAATAGGTGTATATATATGAATATATATTAATATATGTGTGTATATGTCATATATGCATATTTTTTTTATATATGTACATGATTCTGAAAAAAAAATTATTATTTTGAAGATGCAATTAATAACGAAGAGCAACGAATTAACAGATTTAGCAGAAATACATTCAAGTACGTGGTATTTCTTTTTATTAAGAATATGGAACAGAATAGAATATTGAATAGATCTACTTTTTAATGTACAAGAAGTCTTTGATTTTATTTAATAAATTATTTTATTTTATTCTTTAACTACGGTTGTCGTCAATATAGACGGCGAGTATGAATACATATCCATAGTTAAAGAGTTAATTGATGTAATTCTACAATAAAAATGTAATTAATTATAGGTACACAAGAAAAAACCTTATCTAAACTGATCGTATAACAAAAATAAATATAAATATATCTATTATGTTCTATCTAAAAACATGCTTATCGAATAAATTCAAAATTGCTTTGATATTTGAAAAAATATGATAAGACATACATACACCATATCAATACACATATTATACTATACACATATGTATGTCCCATCATTTTCGTCATACATATATCGTATATATACATTTATTTATGTCATACTTTGAAAGAAGGTTAAAATTATATAAAGAGTTTGCGACATATAAATAAAATAAATAATATAAATTATGTATATATAAAAATATATACTATGTGTATATAGTATATATGTGTGTGTTATATACATATATGTATATTAATTTAAGATTGTATGCGTATGTGTGCATAAACTAAATATTAAATCTTGTTACTTAAGATAATTAAATTTTTTATATAAATGATAAAATAATCATAAGATACAAAAATTACACTATATATCTATAAATCTTATATAGAGAATGATTTACTAGAAATGATCAAGCATTAAAATATCTTCGTTTTTTTTAAGGATAAAAAAAATATCTGAGGGAAAAGTTTGCAATAAAGTTGCGTTTTGAAATTGTGCAAAACTTTTCTTTCACTTGAGTCGAAAGTTTTCTTCTATTTTTTTATCTTAATTTTCAATTCAACATTTTGATATTTTAAACAGTCAGATTATGTTTTTTTTCTAAACTATTTAACATATAGTTTCGTTAAAAACTTTTCTTTACCTTTGAATGGGAAACTGTTCACTTACCTTATTTAAAGTACAAAGTAGGAGGGAGAGTTCAACTTCTGTATAAATTAAAATCTATTGACATCCTTTAGAATAAATGTGAAAAATTTTAAATTGAAAAATAGGAGCAAAATTTCGACTTGGACAGATATTTTTTTCACTTTTCGATTGCAATGGAGATATTTAGATATCTTGTTCCTATTGAGTCATCTTACACAATAGCGAAATTAAGACCAAATAAATCTTTATTTTCCAATTTTTAAGCGTTCTCGTTTTTTTTAATAAAATTTCTTTTAAACTTTAGGATCTCGTCGTTAAATCTATTGGTTTTTTCGCAGACGAACTCTCTGTGTCGCTGGCGTTTTCTATTTCATCATCTTGCAAATTATTGTTTACAGGTATCGCGATGGTTTTCATGGAAAGATCCATTGGATTATCCTGTAGCGGTTGACAGACGTCTTCTCGTTCCGAACTGCATTCGAACGATTCGTCCTCGGAAGTTCGCACTTCCTTCGGAGTCGGTGATCTTTCCGACAATGTTCTTTCGCTCTTCAGAACCGTGTCCAAGCAAAATCGATCGTTATTATTGTTTCTTTCGCAAAAATCATTCTCGTTGATAGTCGAGACTCTTGATCCGATCGTCGCCGTCGTCGATGCTGCTGTCACGGTGGATGTCGCAGGACTGTCGTTCTCATCGTTCGTCGGCACCGGGGAACGCCGCAACATGCTGGATGAGTGATTCGTCACGAGAGGATGGGACGCACCGTGATGCGACGCGTAGATATGAGCGTAAGGGGAAAACATGGTAAGACCGGGCGGCTGCAGAAAGGCCGATGGCAGTAGCGACATATTACCAAGTGAAAAGCCCAGTGGATTTGCTAGACTTATCATTTCCTTGCTCAAGACGGATAGATCAGCCACGGGCTGCTGCAACTGCAATGACGGGTGCAGTGGTCGGAAACTCGGGTGTCCGATGAAAACCGCTCTCTTCTCGGAGACCTCGACGGAGCTATCGCTATTGTGAGACTCAGGCGAGCTGATGCTAGGCGAGTTCGAATTCTTGTAATCGTCTAGACTGAGCATCATGGTTTCGTCTTTGCGTTGGCTACCATGAATAGGAGAGCTCGTTGGTTGCTGTTGCGAGAGCTGATGCGGCAACTGTTGTCGACTGATAATAGCCGGCTGATAATGATGTTGTTGCTGCTGCTGCTGTTGTTGTTGTTCTATTTGTTGTTGTTGTTGCTGCTGTAAGAGACAGTGAATTTTAAACCAGTTTGATCTGCGGCCGTATCGTGAACCAGACTTGGACATGCCGACGTGGAGACATTTTCTTAAGCGACAGGCTTTGCACGCGGTACGATTTTTCTTGTTTATCACGCACTCGCCACCATTCTTGCATTCGGCGATACTATTCAGGTTATTGTATGAGCGCCCAAAGAATGACTGCAACAAGAATCATTAATCAATTAGCACTAACAGAATATAATATACGTCATAGGACGTGCGATATTAAATCATCTTTCAGAAAAGAATATATTATATGAAAAGTTTAAAAATTTAACTCTATTTGTAAAATATCAAATTTTAATTATAGTATATATTATTTGTATGATATAAAAAAAGCTCGAAGCGTATTCATTAGCAATATTTTGGGGAAATAACGAAATCTCTTTGATTATGACAATTACATTAATCAGCTAAATTAAAGTAATCGCCACGTAATGTTTATTAAAAATACGTTTGCTTCAATTTTTGTTATTGTCTATTTTTTTACAGGTACATTTGCGCTGTTTCTATTGAAGACACTATCAGTTACTATCGACTTGTCAAATCGGTATCATTATGTGAGCCACGTTTCAGTCAAGACGACGACGAGAGACGAAAGGCTTGGAAACCAGCGGCACGATATTGCAACGGCATTGTAACACTTGTAACAGGTACGTAACGTCGGAGTTGTTAGCGTGTAACCGTACGCTCTCGTTGTCTCATTCATGGCGTGCGAGTGCCAGGGGAGCGCGGTGAGGTCGACGGTCGGAGGCGCGTGCGGCCTGTTGTTCTCGTGCTAATTGCCCAAAATGGTGCAATTCCACGTGATTCCGACACCGTGCTCGTTGCTTTCGTGTCACGAGCAACAATATGTCTATGTGCTTCTTTCTCTTTCCTCCTTTTTTTTGCATACGAGAAAACGCATATAAAATTACTGTCTAATATAATACATATAATATTTCGATCGAAATATAAGTGAATTTTATCTTCTTCATTTTAAAGATAATTTTAGAAAAATTTGCAAATTTCGTCGTATGTAGAGAAGATTTTATGGTATTTAATACATCAATTATTTTTATAAAAGCTTAAATAATCGTTTTATAATAACTTCAAACGTATCGTTATTGCGAAATGTTGCTTCTTTTACAACCGGATCGTTGCGAGACAACAGTTTCGGTTGAATTGACAGCTAGAATTTCTCAATCGGCGATTAATATGTCGCTCGGCGCACAACAGACTGTCACATCGCGAATCGTCGAGCGTTTAAAGGGACGCCCGCGCGACCGCGTTGTCCACTTTCGCTTTTTCTGCCCGTACGCACGCTATATTATTAATCGTTTCTGGTTCGTTTGTCCTGGAAACGAGCTCTTCCTGCGGCCTGGTGGTCCCGATGCGCGGATTGCCGAGACCTATGGGCCGGCATCGCGTTCCACTTATTTTCGCCGTTGACGTCGTCGCTTGTCCTCCACCTTCTTGCCGACGTCGCTTACGCGAGTAAGAAAAGGAACGCGCGACGCTTCAGAAGTGATGACACAATTGAGAAAATGCTACCGTTATTACGTGCCCCCCTCTTTCCAGCCGCACGCCCCCTTCATTCGTCGTGCACAAAGTTATGCAAACAGCCCTACTTGAAAGCCATGACACGCTCGTTTCGTAGCACTAGCTTTGGACGATTATTGAATCTTTGGGAAGTTTGTTTTAATATATCTATTCGCGAAAAAGAAATTAATTAATTTGGAAAATTTTAATTATATGATACGTTATCTCCCATCGTTAAATATTGAATACTTGGAGGGAAGCAGTTGGAGCTAACAAGCCAAAGTTATTTATTATTCCTTGAAGTAAAGTTAAATTTTTCCTTTTTTTTTAAATTTTCTTCTAATTCTATTCTTATATTTCTTGCTGCACGCCTTTTCGCAATACTTTGCTATGATATCTATAATTCTATGCGTGAAAGAGTTTAATTACAATCGTTAAATAATTTTACAAGAAAAAAGAAGAAAAGAGAATCTCACACCGGACACACGCGTGAGGGGGAGCCCCCTTTCTCGTTCCGATCACTGTGCCGCCTCGAGACGCCGCTTCCGGTGCTTCGCACTTGTCCGCCACGATTGTTTCCGCCCTAGTTCACGGTTACGTCAGCACGACATTGTTTCGTTTCGTTATTTTCGTTTTCAGGCCCATCGTAGCATGTCAGTTCTCCCTCCTCCGCGCAATCCCCAGGCTCTTCCTCGCCGCTACCGGTCTCGTTTTTCTCGCTTCACGCTTCTCGAGCGAGCGATTCGACGCTGATGCCGCCCGATGTTCGTCATTTTTTAATCGAATCGCGCGCGTATGCTTGCCGTTTTTGGACCCCCTCGAGCCAGGTTGACACGCATGCCTGACCGAACGTTTAACCTCGGAGCTACGGAGCTACTCGTGAAAGCGACCGCTCGCCGACCTACCGCTATGGGTCTTTGCGAAACCACGGGAAAGAGCGTCGCCCCGTTCGGCGCAGCGTGTCGCTTCGACCGAGAAAAAGTGCGAACGAGCCACCGAGGAAAACTTCGCTATTAGACCGATTGATCAGGAGCGAGGTTCTCCTCTCTCGGTCACAAACGTGCCGTGCTTTTTTCACGGCGAGATCGATTTCCTTCATGCTCGTTATTTCTCGATTCGATAGAGCGATTCTCCGCTTGCGGATATCCCGATCACATTATGTAAAGAAACGAGTTTGGACTTGATTTTATATCATTCTTTCTATTTTATTTTATTTAGTGTTTATTTATATTTACTTAATTTATGTAAATCAGTTTATAGTTAGAGCTCATTGCAGATATTATTTATATTTAGAACAGTTTTTAAACCAAATAATAATTTTCCGAAAATTATAGCAGAAGATGTTATGAGTTATTAAATTTAAGCGAAGCTAGGAAACTTAATCAACTTTTTAATCGATAATTTTCAACGTAATAATATTCTGAAGTTGAGAGGAAGAGAAAAAGATTTTAATATTAAATGGCAAGATTTACCTTGCAGCCCTCGCAGGTGAACGCGCCAAAGTGGAAGCCAGCCGCTGGTTCGCCGCATACCTTGCACTGTTGGTTCATCTGCAAGAGAAAACAATAGCTAAACAATTGCAACAAATTGTATTGTAGCGATTTCTAGTTACATTAAGCAATTAGAGCTGTGTATGAATTAGTATATATTTCGTAAAAATGCTAATACATATATTATCTCAGAGACTGAAGTAAAAAATATAAATAAAAAATATTTTCTCGTTAAAAGATTAAGATAAAACTTGCTATTTAACATTAATCTTTTATCATATTTAATAGTTTATATTGTAGTGTTTAATAGTCTTTTTTTGTATTGTTCATAATGATCAAAGTAAACCAAAAAGATGAATAAAATATAATAATTGTACTTTTCACTCTTTTCGTGTTTGTGCGTGTGTGTATATTATTTGTCGTTTTATTTCCTAAATTTATCAGATATAGAAATTTGTTTTTTCGTATAAAAATTAAACTTATTTCTTGCTAACAGAGTAGGGCAATAGCTGTATGCAATAGCTAAAATTTGATCAGTTAATTACATATGAAATTATACAATATTTGAAAATGAATTGTATCCAAATCCTAAATGATGCACTATTTTTATACTATTTTATAATAATAACCTATAGATAGTAAATAATAAGTAACAAAATAATAAGTAACATAGAGAAGGAGAGGCACCCCCGTAGCAAAAATTTATTCAATTTTGTCCTACGCTAAACAATTTGTTTAGTCATTATTTCTACGCTTCTCTTCAAATTTTACATCTTCAGTTTTGTATTAAATATTCAGTAAATACATGACTTATAAATGGATATCATGAACAGACATTAGAAACTGATAGATACCGAAATTATAAAAACCTAACTAATGCAAGTTTGTTGCAATAGCATAAAACTCAACGATATTGTGATATTTCTCTAACGAATCACTTCCTACGCGACGGAAACGGAAAGTGGATCGACCGAAGATACACGTACGTTTGACAAGTCGGCGATGCAATCTTTATCGTGCGTCTACACCGATCGAGCGCGCGATTGAGTAAGAGAAGAGGCGCGTTGCATAATGCGCCGCTTTGCAGTGCAGCTCGCGCGCGCGCGCGCACGCGAATCGCTGGATCGTGGCAAAGCGGTGCGTGTTACGTTCAACGAGCGGAAAACTCTTGCGCTTGCTTTTTTCCCCTCAGTCGTGTTTTCTGTCTCTCTTTCTCGCGCCGGTTCCGCCGAGCCGGCTCCTTTCGCCTTCTTTGGCCGATCGTCCAGAAAACGGACCGTGGCTCCGCGGTCTCGTTTTCACACCTCGTCGCTTTTATTCCTCCCTTGCATAACGTGCATTTGTGTAGGCCAGCGAAGCGATGCCACGTTCCGAAACAGAGACAATCGACTCCTACTCCGAAATGTTCTCTTTTATCTCCATCGTTTCTCCTTTTTCGAACTCGTCCACTCGCGTCTCTCCGGCTTTTATTTTATTTTATTTATTTATTTTTTAAACAAAATGTCAGAAGATCACGAATATATGGGACAATAGCGGTGACCTAGATGCTTGTACCACGGCCCGAGGGCACAACTGTGCCCATCTTCGACGACTTTCATACGTGACGGACTGTCGCTAAATGGGAAAGTAAATCTCAACTAATGGAAGAGACATCCACGTTGTTTGATCAACGGAGTCTCTCTCTCCTGACCTACACCCAACAGTCGTTGACACTTGTCATTCGCGGATGCCGCCGTTTCTGCCGCGGTATATTCTACAGGTTTACGCTTGTAAGCACCGCACAATTCCGCATTTGTATTTTTTCACTTATCTGCGTTCGCACGCTTACTTCCTATCACGTTACACACACACAGCACAAAACCACGTTTCAATCATGTTATATGTTATAAATTGATTTATATCGACAATTAATAGTTTGTTATAAATTCATCATTTATATTGACAATTAATAATTTATTTTATTTTATGTCTTACGTTCTCAGTGTGCACATACTTTTCTTAAAGTGTGGTCGTCTACTGTTCCCAAATACTTCCTGCTTAAAATACCTAATATGTGGAAAAACTGGATATATTCGTGCTGTATTCGTTGATATCGTTAATCGATTTCGTTATAAATGAGTCTTTCTCCATTTTAAATTATTTAGTATATTATTCACTAAGGCGTTGCATTACATCCGGAGAGAGGGAGGGATGGAGGGAGAGAAAGAGAAAGGGAGGGAGGGAGGAAGGAAGGAGAACCTGCCCTATCTATTTACAAAATGAATTCTTTGTGCATTCTTTATAGATAGGGACTGGTTTTCGTTTTGATAAAATGGCTCAACAAGGCCCAACAAGGCTCCGACGCCTGATCAATGGCAACCTGTGTTAATACAGGTAGAGTACATCCGGTAACAGGTAAATCTCATTCGGTGGATGCCCATGCGTTCCACGTCGATGCAATCGCGATGTTTAAATGATATTGTGTCGTGTTGAGGTGTCGCAACAAGATACATACAATATCGTCAGATAAAATCGAACGAGGTTAGTGAATTAGATTCCGTTGAAAAAAAATAACCGCAAAATATAAATAATTATAATATTAAATAAATAAAACAAATAAAAATATCAAATTATGAAATATAATCAATTGATAATATAAAAATATTTCGTCCATTTACTTTATATATTAATTATTTTGCAATATAAATTAATAATATTCAAAATGTAAAAAATCACATGCAACTATTAATAGTAATAACTTTATTGAGTGCAAATATATTAAGATGATAAGGTTACTTACAAAAAAATTATAAATCAATAGATGCATGCAAAAGGCGATGATAATAATACCATTGCTACAAGACCTAGTAATAAAAAAAACTGTAACTTACAAAACATAACTACAGGAAGAAGTTTGTTAGATAGCATAGATAGAATAGATAAAAATAAGCAATAACGTAACAAATAAATTAAAATGCATAGAAAAATAATAATGTGAAACAAAATAAACAAATTAAAATACGCACGAAAAGCAACCGCAGATTTAAAGAAACAGAGAGAAGAAGAAGATTGCATGCCAGGAAGGAATAAATTAAAATATTATGTATAAAATAAAGTAATCATTATTAAAAATATTTAAAAATTTAATTGAAAAATCTTGACAAAAGACATAAAAACGCCAATAGTGAAAGGTGATTCTTATTTGCTATACATAATATTTCTATAAATGAATTTCAAAAATCGTTGGTTTTGGTAATTAATAAACACTATCTACCTATTTCCTCCTATGCCTTCTCGACTCGCGAGAATTATTCGGCGTAATCGGGAATTTTACAATTACACTTGACAACGTAAGTGGTTGCCGCGTGCTTGTTACGCCGATCTCTATCCGCCTTAGTCGGTGCATGCAAACAGCTGATTCACGGCTCGCTAATCGTAATAGCTCGCGCGGTATTAGAAATTACGAGCTATTATCGCGAGCTACGTATTGTCTTTCCTCCAATTTCCCGAGGATTGTTTCTTCATAACAGCGAAAAAATCTGAACTCTTTAAGATGGATATCCTGTTCGTTTACTATTCGTTCGCTAAGTTATATCGATTTTTACGATTGTCGCAACGAAGTTTTCCCGTGAAAGCGAATCACTCTTCTCGAGACACCCGGACACGAATCTGGATAATAATAAAAAGCGACCCGATCTTCGATTCGCCGCCGATCGGCGGCCCGCTCGTGCGGACGCAAAGGTGCTCCGTAATAAGCACTCGTCTCTCGGCAATCCTGTCTACCGACGACGAGACTCGGCGTGTATTATCGTCGAGAGCGGATCTCGGCGGCAACGATCATCGCCAAGATCGTCGGGGACCGCCACGAGGCCTGACCTTGCGCGATTGTTGCGCAGATCCGAGCGAGCCGTGAGAATCGTAACGACTCCCGCGAATCGCAAAATCTCTGACCGATGATCATCGACGATGACTGCGAGACATTTGATGCACATCTGTCAGGATGGTCGCAAAGCATTTGATCGTTGCAATTCCTTTGCGGGCCATGTCATATTTTTCTTTTTTCATATGCCGATATTCTCTACAAACAACCACCCACTGTGTCTTTCATCGCCGAAAAATAGACTTTCACGTTTTTTCGGTCAAATAAACGAGAAACATGAGCCTAACGAAAAAAAGAAAACACTCATTCTCACTTCATATTCATGCTTTTCGCTTGCTATTGATGCGGTTAAATAAAAAATGAATCTAATACTACGCTTTTTCTTGTCTCTAGAAAAATATATTTTTTCAAAGATATGATAATAACGGAAAATCTAGAACACGATTCTTTCCAAAAGACTTATTTTAACTGATCCCAAATTTTGCAGTTAGAATCCAAGAAGTATTCAGAAATAAACCAGAAATAATTAAAATTCTTTTGTCTATTATATTGTAACAATCACTACGCACTGTAATAGCTGAAATTTTTCTAAAAATCTGATATTCGGAATTTTTCAGAAAATGAAAGGACAGATATTTCGAATTATGAACTCATCTTTAAAAACTCCTCTTTGTTCTTAAAGTTCTTTAAGGAAAGTAAATCTTTAAAAATCGTTCTTGAAAAAAAGCGAAAAAAATTTTCGAACTATCACATGTAGTGTGTATATTATGAAAATATATTATCATTTTTTTCTCTTTCTATTGCATATTGCATCTTTTTGTAAAATTGTAAAAAACTGTGCTTCTACTTTTTAATTATTGTAAATCAGTTTTATTGAAGCGAATAATGATTAACGAAGAAATAAATATTAATAATGCAGTGGAATTTTTTTGAACACAAACACGGCAAAAATGTAAAAAGATGGATATATTCTTATTACTTGTTTTTATGGGAGGTCAAAAACAGAAAAACACAAATGATGTGTTATTAAATAACAAAGAGGAATTCTTTTTCCTTTCGAATGAAAAAACTTGACATATATAGCTACGTAAGATTTGCAACATGTATATAGTCATCAGCGGCGGCCGACGGCGATTCATCTTGCTATTGATTACAGGCCGCTCGGTACCATTCCAAATATCAGTCCATCACTCGCAGTGCACGTCCATCCGAATTGATGCGAGAATTTCGCTCAAACGCCAATCGATGCGGCGATCGATCGGCCTGCGAGGAAACGGTTCCCCGGCATCTCGCAACCTCATCTCAGCGAACGGCGCAACGGCGCTCCAGTTTGCGAAGAACAACTTCCGTTCTTTCGAAACGGAGCGACGTTTCGCAACGTGCGTTCCGCCAATTCCGGCCTTCGCATCGGCCTGCGTGTGCGATGACGATGTTTCCGATTCTATTCTATATATCGCAACCGACGCGCGATCGACATGCGGACGATTTGTCGCGGCTTGTATGAAGTCGCGGACAAATGCTACGGTTTACGATGACAGACAATTTTGCGGATGCACGCGCGTCTGTCAGAATTGACAAGTCACGAGTGAGAATTCATCACGGCATCTAATCCGCGACGAAACGATTCCGAAGCAAATTCTCATCGCTCTCGCGTTCTCGATCGTTCCCGATCGTCGATTTCGAGGCACTAGCGACTCGATAGCATTAAGATTGTATCGAATACGAGGAAATATGAAAGAATTGATTAATCGCAATGAATTGTGATCATATCGATAATTTTAATCGATCGAAAGTTTTATCAGACAACTTTACCGAGTCAAAACCGTTATGTTTGCTATGATTCGCTATGATTTTCTCGCGATTGTGAATAAATCTATCTTTTCTCATAGTTAATTCTATTTTTTTATGTATGTTATTGGATGTTTATTTAGATATTTTTCAACAATTTTCTAAAACTAACTGAACGCTGCATTAAAAATTTTGCTCCGATATTGGTGTGAAACAGATTCTTAATTCAATGAAACGACAATATTATTATGAAATATTACTTACTTTTGTTGTTGCGATGAATCAACGGCAGATGTAAACAGCATTCAGCATTGATTTGGCTTAGCCGGATTCTATTCTGAATCACTACTAATTTTCGAAGCCAAGTCTTCCAGAAAGTGGCGCTCTTCGCCACTGGTCACCTCAACATTCGCATTTGACAAGACACAAGACACCGACAATTGTTGTTCATTGTCCTTAGGGGATCACAGATAAGAGCAACACGACACCAAATTCCACAGTCGATCAACACTTAGCAGGATATTTTCCACAATGTATACATCTCTAAGTAAGGTCTCTTACTGTTATTATAATGTGTCAAATTTTTGCGAAAAGACATCCGCTCGACATCGAAGAGAAATCACTATTAACAACATCCAACAGTTTGAACGTCAAGTTGAACCGCACCAGTCTGTGCCTCTTGATTGCACCTTGCCGCGACTAGTTTCGTGCAAAAGGTCGCGAACCGACGACGGCGAGTGCAAATTCTCGCGACTGGTGCGACCGGATAACGGAAGAAAATGAAGACTCTTGACGCGCCGATGACCGTTAGGTGAATGACTTTGGTAGGTGAGGGTGTCCACGTCGATTCTTGAATCGGCCCCCACTTCTGCACATTTATTTTCCACGGTCCCACTTGGATCGAGTTTCCGCTCGCTCGCTCGTTTGCCGTGCGGCACGGCTCGCTCTCGTAAGTGTTTCTCGAATGGGCCTTATAGGCATACTGTGCGTCGGATCGGCACTATCCAAGTGGTACAGGTGGGTTGCGGTCCTGTCGTAGCTTTGGTGGGGATTTTGCTGGACGACCGGATAATCCTTCTACACTTCGCGGTGGGGGTTGACGAGGGAGGGGCTTCAACGCTTTACCCTTTCCACTTATCTTTTCCTCTACTCCTTTCTTTGTATCTTCTCCTACCCTTTGTGAATCTTAGATATCTACCTACGACATATGGATTCAGATTCTTCACGTAGACTCTTTGTGATATATCCTTTCTTTTTGTTTTTTTTAGAAATAAAGATTTACGATCTCTATTGCAGATTATATTTTTTCAATGAGGTATTGATCCAAAAATTAACGGCTAAAGCCGAAAGAACAACATAATGTTATTTGTAAAATTCCCAGTACTTCAAAGACAGACTGATTGATTTGATTTGAATATCATAGTGTACAAAAATTATATTATAAACTAGCTCTCCATTTTGTATGTTGTAATTATTGTTGAAGTTTTTTTAATAATTTGTTTTATATCAGAAGAATAATGTTAAAAGAAATCTACAAGTTTTCTTTTATTTTTTTTGAAGTAGCTTTTTTGAAATTTTTGATGATATAAGAAAGAATAATCTCGACTGATGAGACTAATTTTTTAATGTATTACAAATTTCAGATGTAAGTAATCAATCATTAAAAGAAAAAAAATTGTTAGTCGCTCGATAGTGATTTATCTTTTTTTCTATAATGTCGACCTATTTCACATCACGCATTAAATACGCATTTTCGTATTATTCTTTCGAACAAACAATAACATGGGAAACACTTTCAACAAGTGACAACGACCATATGTTGAAACTTTATTTCAAGAAAACAATTTACAGCAGTTTGCTTTATATAATAATTTGTTATTTAGATTATGACATTTATGCGAAAGACATCGACTATGCGTTTTTATATGATTTGACATGAACGCATTTACATTACATATGTAATGAGATGATTCTCGAGATACATCTTTCGAAGGACGATCATGATAACACGTGGCAATTGGATTGCGCTCTCAAATAATAAATAAATTCGATGCTTATGACGTGCTCGATCGCTCGTTTGCATAGATTTTCAAGATTTTCTATAATTATTTCCCCTCAAAGTGCGATATTTTTCTCGTATTTATCTATTCCGAATGATATTTCAAAAACACGTGAAATGAAAGTTTTTTTTTACTAGCATAAAATTTCCATCGCGTGATATAAAATTCACCACAAGGTATAAAAATCGCTTAAATAACTGGCGTAATAATAATAAGTTTTTTTACTAAAATTCTAAACTAAAATTCTAAATTTAAAACTGACAAATATTGCTGACATTATGAAATTGGAGCCGCCTGTCTGTTGGAGTGTTTTTCCTAATCATCGTTTTCCTAATCACCTATACTATAGCTATACTATTGAAAATAACCATTCCTATCTTTTGTTCAAGATTCTTTCTTCTATATAAAATTTAATTGTAAAATAGAACATATAAATAATTTAAAATTAAGATAAATACGTGCGTGACGCATGCGTAACAAATACAGTAAACAATACAAGTTAATTTAGTTAATCTTTAAATACATTTGGCAAACTTTTGAGTGAAAGAATTTTTAAATGGCTGAGATCTTATTTTAAAATGCAATTTTAGTCATAGAAACAGAAAAAGAAAACAAAAAAGAACAATAACTTAATCCTTTGATTTTTTTATGATCAAAAATCACTTGAGAATCCAATTCAAAATTATGTACATTGTTTTTTAAAATAACGTTATGAAACCTTTTGTATTATAACGGCATCTGTAACACTTGTTGCTCTCGTTTTGGTCCTAGCATTTATATTGAGTTTTTCGCAGCATTGCATCTATGAATAACACGAACCCTTTCCTTTTTTTACCTGCGAATACCATATCTTAATATTTCATAGTCGAGCAGTTTTCTAAAAAGTTAGAAAGATTGTCATTTTTCTTCTTTATAAGAAAAATTTTTGACAATTGAATAACACAAGAATTGGAATAAATTACTATCATTATAATAATACAAAGAAAAGAGACAGAAAGGAAGAATGACTTTCAAAGTTTTTAAAATTTTTGTCGGTAGAAATTTTTTTCTATAATCTATATCCAGAATATATAGAACTTTTAATCATAAAAATAGGGAAATTTCTATGATATGATTGGTTAATATAGCATTTATATATTCTGGTATCGTTTTTTAAATCATCACAACGTAAATAATTTCGTTCGTTTTCATTTATTTCGCCTGTCTCGAGTAAAGCTGTATCTCTGAAAGGATCTATTCATCTTTGGCTGAAAATTTACCTCACGAAAGCCTCGTTTGCGTTTGAGGAGTGCATGTGGCCTACACAAGGTTCGAGCGAAACGAAACATAGAAACGTTTTACATAAAAAAGTTTTTCCTCCCTCTTTCTACCCCTTTGCTTCTTCTGCTCTTTTTTTGCGCGAACAGGTCCCGCAATTACGTTCGATGAAAAGTAATTGCACAACCCACGCTTCCACCACGTGACCTTTCTTCAACTTTATTGTAGGCCACATGCACTCCTCAAAACGAGCCGCTTATTCCACGATGGGATGATGTGCGGAGACTGAGGCGAGTAACACGCAAGGCAAATCTACTTTGCTGACTACAGATGGAGCCATGGGCTCCGCACTGACTTCGATTTCCCGCCTTTTACTTGTCATCTCTCCTTCTCTATATCTTTTGCTATCTCGATCAAGCGCGCACGCTTTGCATGTATGTCAGTATATCTTTCTGTGTGTGGCTTTGTTTTAAGTTGTTTTATTTTATCACATTTTTTGTTTGTGTTCTTTGGTACATTAATTTTATACGAAGCACTTATCTAAATGATATAAGGTACGTAATCAAATTATTATCGTAATGATCGGCGATTTGAGATTCACGGAAGAGTGATTTTAAAAATAGTTTTAAAAATGTTTTTTAATACTATCAGAAAACACGGATAAAAAATAAAATTCTATAATTAAATATTGAGATAAACTGATTAATCATCGAGGATGTTTCGAATTCGAAATTTCCAAAGCTAAATTATAAATATATTTTGAAGATATAAAGAATGTTTGTTTCCATCTCTTACGAGATAATAAGTCGCACACAAGCGTGACTAGACTTGTGCGGTAACTGGAACACTAATCACACATATTTCATATAATCGTATTGTAAGATCATCAATTAAACCAACGTAACTTTGTGGCTATTATATTAGTATTTCCTTAAGGAAAAGGCAGTCAAGATGGCTCGTTGGTCTAGGGGTATGATTCTCGCTTCGGGTGCGAGAGGTCCCGGGTTCAAATCCCGGACGAGCCCGTAGAATGCTTTATTTTTGCTTCCTCTTTCTTTTATTGACAATAAATAACATTATAACACAAACACACAAATAATATTGAGTATTCGCATTTTATTAAATTTTTTAGATGTATAATTTTAGAAATCATGCTTTTTTTTCTTCTAAAGCACAGTTCTGTCTATAAAGAAATATCGAATCGTTATTCTGTCAATTTTCTATTTACATCCGCCCTGACGTAGTTAATTATATGCTGTTCATCAACGTCAATTAATTCTTTATATGTGACGCGTGAGATAAAGATAGATATTAAGAAGAATATTTTGACGTGCGAGTATATTGCGTAAACATATGTTACCTTCATGTATGAAATGGACAATCAATATTCGGTCTAGTCAGGGTAATACCCTTCTTTTAGCACAACCAGGGCTTGTATAATCCCTTGAATTATATCTCATTAATTCAGGTTTACATCAGGACATCGCACGCTACGTCGGTGCCCTCTAATTCGAACATCGGTCTCTTTGATGTTCTAATGCGTTTCTAAAGATAGACTTTTTATTTGCCCGATAACGGGATCATCCTGATTGCTCTTTTAAGGGCAGGATCACATATAAAATCGTGCTAAATTCTCAGCTTTTAACGGAATGAGTTTTGTATGCAATAAATTGACAAAACATGTTATAATGGGTGTGAATTTTGTTATATGTTATACGATTTATTTTTTTTATATTGTATCAGTGATATCTTTATATATTTTTAAATTTTACAATAAATTGAATATTATATATTAACGATTTTTTTATAACGTATAACGTTAGAAACGTGTGCGATTCTTGTTGACACTGAATTTATTTACGCTGACTAGACCTAAATAAATGATGACAGCTAGTTAATATTATACATACATGCCACGCAGAGGTGATCAAAGCAGTATGCAACAGATTCACAAAGACATACAATTTCAAAAAACCTTGACGATAAAGAATGCTCCTTTAGATTACCGTGTGGAACGAAGATATGCATCGTGTGATCGATTACCAACCCGTTAACGATGACGTAGCTTCTAAAATCATCGAAATACTCGTCGCCTTAATCGCATGTCAGATGTTATTGCGGGATAATCAACACTAGGTATAGTGCGAGCGGCGACAATTATTCCTTTCTCCGATGCGTAGTGACGGAAACGAGCGTATCACATCGACGAAACTTATTTTATTGACCGTTTTTCCGATAAATTGTAATATTTCGTTCATGTTATATATTTTCTTATTTATTGTATAATTTATATGTTTGTTTTACATTGCCTTTTTAAATGCAAAGGCCACCACGCGAATTATAAATGTCAATCGGCGGTCACCTTTTAGCTTGTCGCGCAGCGATGGTGATAAATATGAAAAATCGATCTATATGTCGGAATATCAAATTAGCGTGGAATTGAAATTTTGCAATATTAAGGCGAGTCCCGACGCAATTTATCGCGATAATAAATTGTCCACCGACGAACACTGCGAGATTTCGCAAGAGCGGAGCGCATCGTGATCGTAAACTCCGGTTATTTAAATCTTTGGCTCCGCTACCGTGCACGCATATCGCCGATACGTCCGAAATTGTATGAGTCATTCGTAAGGGAAAATATATCTGAGATGCGACGATTTATGCGAGGAACGACATTCGCTGGCGCGTTGAAAATGGAGCCTGGCTCATT